TCTCAAAGGCTATTTCATGACAGTAAAATAAATAATGCTTGCTGCAGCATTTAGAGATAAATATCAATGGAACTAAGTTCCATCAGCTCAACAAAAGGTTCTGGATTTAAGAATTGAAATTTGTGTTCAGGTAACGTAATTTTGGCTCAAAAAGAATCTGAATCTATTCAGAGGTATATTATATTTTCCCAGTTCTGTTGAAACATGAAAGAACATGTTTTTCATCATCTAAATGATGTGCTAGTGAGCTGGGATAATATTTAGACAATGTGCAGTGACAGAAAGAGAGAACAATATTAAACGATATCATCAAGAGTTATTACACTGTGACTGAAAATACTTGCAAATTTGGAGGATTTTTGTCTTTAGTTAGATGCAATTGTGAATTTTGGACCCAGCTCTTAGTAATACTATTTGTTATTATAAATGAGAAATTATTCGCTACTCTTATGCTCACCAAATAACTAACACAAACAGGCAAAGTCTGTTTCTGATCTTATTTCAGTTGTTGAGAATCGGTAAAATCAATGCAATCAGTAGATGGACACAGATGTAAGTTAAGTGAGATCAGAATCCTAATTTCTGCTGAAACACAGCTGTGTTCATTGCAATATTAGCATAGTTCTGCTTGAAGTTTGCTTAACTTTTCTTTTGTTTTTCTCTGCCATTCCACTAGAAAATAAATTCTCCTGTATTTAAGATAATTGGAATCACTGACTGTAACATTCGGGGATAATTGCTGTCTGGCACCCCTGGAGACAAAGTACAAATCTTCTGACCTAGAAAGAAATGAAAATAGGAAAGATACCACAATCTAGACTTTCATCCAAAAGTAATGGGAACTTTTGCCTCATCCACATGCAAGCCTCATCCACAGAAAGAAGGGAATGTGGCAAGGGAATGTGGAGCTATAGTGCAAGTTTGTCTCTGGCCCCATGCGTAGACCATCTCTGTCTGTGCTCCAAGAACACTCCAGAGGGATTTGTTGAATTTTGGAGACTACATTGGGACAGCCTGGGTGTTCACAAACTGGCTGCAATGTCATTACAGTGAGGTTCACCTGGGAAGATGGTTGGGCTGAGGAGATGAGAATCTGGCTCCACGTATTCCCAGGTTTCTTTGAGCGACCTCTCCTAGAAAGAAGCTGTTTGGTCTTTATAAAAAATGGCATCTGACAGCTTGGAAAGAAAAGCTGTTTTTCTTCCCATGCCAAAATTCATAAAATTTTATGATGAAGGAAAGAATTTATTGGATAGTAAATTATTTGTTAAGTTCCAATGATGTGTTGGAGCCTGACAAGGATTATATTTTTGCTGTCAATTCAATTACCCTACACTTGTGGATGCTGGTTTAATTATTTGTTGCTGGTTTAATTAAAAGGCGCTTAAGTCAGTGCAAGTTTTGCCCCTGATGTCAATGAGATCAGTCACAGGTCCAAGTTGTCTTAATTCTTAGAGTGGTTAATAAAGAGCAGATCTTTCAGAAATGCCATCACCCACAGCCACACACAGTTAATCTTGAGCTACCAGAGCCAAACACAACGTAGCAACAAACTCACACAAGTTAAGTGAGCGGTATGCGCTTATCCTAGGGTCTGCTAAAACACAGAGAGCATTGACCCTTGTGCTATAGGTGAAAATAAAGAAGGCTGAAATGTACAAAGCAGATTTTTGTTATTGTAAACTGAACGAAGAATGTGGCCTTAAGAAGCTGAAGTTAAATGAAAAGACTGAAGGTACAATTTAGACAAGACCGCATGAGACACAAGTAACTTTCCATGAGATATGAGATAAATAAGAAGTGACCTCCCTCCAGTCTTCCTTGCTGCTCCTCTCCCCTCCAGCCGTGCATGGAAGAGTGGGGCAGGACTGGGGGCACCAACCATTGCTCCTTTGTGAGACCTCTCATATAGGCAGAGGCTCCACTTAAAGCGAATTGGACTTTGGTTCCTCCAGTTCCCCAAGCCTGTTCTTGAGCCCTCAGTGCCTGCATATATGCCGCAAATACTTTTCCGAGGAAAAGCAGACTTGCCTAGTCCCCCCTAAAAACTCTGCTTGAAAGTACAAGCCAGTGACACCGAGCTCCTTCGAGCCCAGTCAAACAATAGGTGTCAGGAGATGGCTTAATTTAGCCATCCTAAATTGCTGTCAGCCTGAGCCTAAACTGAGGAACCTTCTTCTCCGCCACATTTAACGGCTCCTTCTCAGCCAAACATTGGTTTCTGTGGTTTGTGTTGGATTGCGCCTTCTGAAAGTCTAACTTTCCATCTCACTGTAACCTTTTTCATCAGAGAGAGCAAGCTTTATATCCACAAGAGAAGCTGGGTCCACCTGATTTATTTGCTATTTCCCTCCAACCCAGCCGCAGTCTCACCAGACAGCTGTACGAATACATGTTCTCCTGCACAAGCTACACAGAAGAACAGGGATATGGAATCAGATATTTGAGGAGAGAAATGTGCAGTCAGATGTGTAAGCGGACTTTAAAATGCTAGCGAGGTGATGACATTCCTACATAGCTTGTCTTCAGGAGATATATTTGAACAAAGTCACCATGCCTTAGCAAAAGAACAGAGATCTGTTGGAGAATCATGTTCTGTGTTGTTTAATTAATCTACTTTCGACAGTTTAGCAGTTTGTGCTTAGATGATGAATCCCCAAGCAAGTAGCTAACAGCAATCACTGTGCACTGGGTTTTTCTGAAAAAAATCTGTATTAGCCCCATTCATAAAAAAAGAAAAATACGAAGTGACCTAAAGACACATTAAAATACTCAGATCATCTAAATGTGAACAGTAGTTGGATGGGGACTGTCTCTGTGACCCTCAGCAAGATATATATCTACTCCATCTACCTCAGTTTACATTTGCATGAAATGGGAATAATATTGACTATGAAATCAGCTACCACTAGTTTGTCTGCTAACATTTGTCTGGCTCTTTGAAGATAAAGTGATAATTTTAGTAGAACATCTCATCAGGAATTTCATTGTAGATTGTGAGTTTTGTTTCAAGATGAAGACATCAAAATGCACACAGGACAACCAGAGCCTATTAGCATATTTTAAAGAGTTTTCCCCTTGCCTACAAATAGTATAGCAAATGGGTTTTCCAAATCTTAATTACATAGTGTCTCCGATGTTTTATTTCAGTAAGTATTTCATTCATTTGTAGATCCTGGATTGAGAAAATACTCCAGGCATAAAGTAAGTTGCACCCCTGAGAATCGCTGCAAAAGAAAACAGATTATAGATTGCTCAGAAACCGAGTATGTGTTCTCCGAATTTCTCTGAACAAGGCGCCCCCTCTTTGGAGGGCATAATGTGCGTGTTGATGACCCCAGACACAAACAATGGCAGACTTCTTCACGTCACGTGCCCAAAACTATTTGCTAATTTACTCACAGATGGTACCCCTTAATTCCTTATCTGACTACTGAGACGGCTTTTTCTTCCTTTATGCTGCCACAAATAGATTGACGATACTAAGCAGTCTCAAAGGCAAACTTAATGCCGTAAATTACATATATGATGAAAGAGATGGTTTGGCACCTGGCTCTTTTCCATTCCTCCACAAACCTTCTGGTACTCCTTCTAAGCCCTAGGTGCTCTCACTTGTTCCTTCCCACACCGCATCATCCCTTTCCCTTCCTTATAGCTTCAGGTGACTTCCACGTCCTGCTCTCCCTCCTGCTCCTTATAGATTCCTCTTGTGCCCGGCAGATATTGCTGCCTGACAGAATGGTAATATTTGCATGGTGGATAAGTGACTCAGGTGTATGGTGACTTGGGCAAACTTATTGTGAAATCAAATTTATATTTCTCAAATTTTTGATTTTCTTTATTGACAGTGGTTTCGTGTGCCAATTCTGGCACAGATATCATATGTTCACCATTGTGATGCTGGACTGCAAGGCTCCCTGAGCATACCTTTCTCTTGAAGGGGGAAAAAGTGGTATCATCCAAGATCTGCTTGCTTAGGCATGAAAACGAGGCATTATTCATGGCAAACTGTTCTTTTCTACGATCCAGCCCCTCCCTTTCTAGCAATAGACATAAAAGTGTGAACAACATTGGCACTGGAATTACCAATACTGGGAATGTGAGTTACAGCAAATTGGGATGAATGGGGTAGTTCATTACTCAGTTATTGCTTCAGACTCTCAGCAGACAGCAGAGATCATTGCATTTGCTATATCCCACACTTAAAAAAACCCCATATGTAATTTTTCTGGAAATTTAAACTACTTTAGAATATTAAGAATCTAAAGAAGATGAAACCTTACAAATGTGATGTATTAGCACAAAGTAGCATACTTTTCCATACATACATGAATTTTGACTGTAGTAACTATCAGGACCTTCTGGCTGTTCACCTTTTTTCCTTGCATATGGATTTTAGTCTCTCTCTCTCTTTTTACATCCATGTGAACAAATATGAATAAATGTCTGTGTGTGTTCAAACATATGTAATAGTGTTTGGAAAGTGAATGTTTTATCAATGACAGCAGAAGAACAGGAGTCTGCTTAGTAATGCCTACATGTATTCCTTGAAAAGGTTCAAGTTTAAGCAACGAAAACCCTTTTAAATAATTGGTTTTATTCAGAAGAACCACTGGGACATCACCAGCTAGGCTTCTCCTGAGGCCACCTTATGAGTAAATCAGTGAGAAATGGAAATCCCTTCTTTATAAGACTGGGGTTCTCTTGTTCTCAAAGCTTTTAGTCTTAACACCACGTCAGGGCCACTAGCTTCCTCAGTCCCCCTGGTACGTGTTATTCTTTCATCTGCCTGGCTGAACAGCAGACCCCACCATTCAGTGACTGGCACGGCTGAACTCACATTTTCTTGATCTCCCTGCCCTGGTGCTGGCACGAGCAGCAGCCTTTTCTTTTGCTCTCTTGGCTTCTTTATATTCAACTGGCTCCAGAGATCCGCCCTCAGAGCCCGCCAGGACACCCATGTCTGTCCAGCCTCCACCTCCTTCCCTTCGCAAGATTAAAACGGACCCAGCAGCCTGCACCTCCCTCCTCGCTGGGTCCTGCGTGGGGCAGGAGGAGCCGTCTGCACCCATCGCCGCTCTCTCCTACAGGACTAATGAGAGGGAAGCAGAGAGTGTGACTATAGACACCACGTATTCACATGAGAGAAGTGAAGAAAGCCAGCAGTGAAGATGAAAAGCAACTGGTAAGAGAAAAAGTGGGATTTAGAGAAATCTGTAAATAAGAGATTAGAACAGTTAAAGTTGTCCTTGCCAGCTGCTGCCTTTGTTGTCTGGCTTTATGACAGCATTATATGAAGGAAATGGTAACAGAAATAGCTTTATTGACATGTTTTATTATAAGGCAAAGATAAAAAGTTCTCATGTAAAGAAATTGTCTTGTCAAATCTGTCACTAAATCCTTAAATAGGGTTTTTATACATTTAATATGCACGGCTCTGAGGAGAAAGTCAATAACAGAATCTGTCAGAAATTATACATTCATACTGGAGTTTTCTTTCTGTTTACAGGAAAATTACAGCTTTCTTTTACGTGTGTAGTTTTCTGTGGTCTTTCATCTCAGCCACCATCCAGCAACAATCAAGTAAGGAGACAGACTTTATCTGCTTTTCATCTTTCTGTAATTTTGACAAAATAATCAAAAGAATTATTCTGAGCTTATTAAAAATTAAAATCCTGTCTACCTAGCCATCACAGAAAGGGAGAACTGCCTATGTGTATGTATGGATGTATGTACAAGAGGAGAAAAAGCAAGAGCTGTGTGTGCTATTTTAAGCTCACTATTAGATATATTTTTAAGGTAAGGATTAATATCTGGATATAGGTGGTAGATACAGGACACAAACCTCCCCACATCTTTCAGTGCTTCTAGTTAGATATTCTGCTGCTACCTGTGGCAACAAACTGGTTCCACTTTATTTGCTGGGCATAAAATGTAAATGGCTGGATGTCAGCCATATGTCTCATCAAATAATATAGAATGAGGCCATTTCTAAGGTGTAACATGTCAACCTGAATGTTCCCTTTAAGTCTATGTTGTCAGAAGGAAACCCACATTTATGGTTGAGCCCTTGCAGCACACAAGAGGCTCTCTGTAGGTTAGAAATGCATCTCCTTCCAACTTGCATGCTTCGTTTTTCCCCTTCTAACATTTTCCAGATTGACCTGATACTGGACTTGTACATGACTCTTAAATTCTTCAAATAAATGTTTCTTTTTCCTTCCTCCTTTCTTAAATTAGGGAAATCTGGTAGGTTTTCATGCTTATTACAGGGCTTATTGGCAGATAATATTCTGAAAAATTAGATTTTTAAATTTGGTTTCCTCAAACAAATCTCTTCTACATTCTTGTTTGGGTCAATGAAAAGGTTTGTAAGTTGTTCTTGCCCCACCCTGTATTTCATGAATGATCATTCTCTGATCAAATGTGGCATAGAGGAAGGTGAGAACACCTGGAATACCAGAGAGGATGGAAAAGATGCCAACAGTTTCTCAACAGCCTCTCTAGTTGGCATGAGGTTTGTTTAAGTTTCCTTGGGACTAGGAAGACTGTTGATTTAGGTAACTGGCTTTTTTTTCAAGGTTTGCTTAAACCACCAAAAGTTCCAAACCAAAAACTCCTTAAACAGCAGGCCTTCTTATGCTACAACTATTTCTCCATAGCTCTGCAAGAGAAGAATTATTATAACACTCTCATTTAAAGGCTTAAAAAAAAAAATCAAATAATCAGTCAAGTTATAATTTTAAATTTGGAGCTCTCTAGAAACAGATGCTTATTTTCTTAGACCTCTGACTTCACTGAGTACAGTTTAAATTGATTATTATATACATCTAATTATTATCATTATTTATGGCTCTATTTAATATTCTTAGAGTTGCTTCACTTAATTTTTTAAGGTGATCTGAGGCAATGTGCAGGCACATGGTTAATAAACTCACCGTTTTTGCAGGACTACCAGTCATTCTGGGTGCCAGTCAAAGAACTGATCTCTGCCCAACAATCAGGATTGGCCAAGATGACTTACCAGGCAAGTAGCCTCCTGATTTTTTCAGGAAGAAGCTGCTTCTCAGAAACTTTATCAGGTCATATTCAGCTCTGTGACTGCACAATTCTCTAATTAAATTAAAATGAAAGTTACATTCTGGACATGAATATTTTTTCTTGTAGGCTTTGACCTGATTTCTCAGTTCCAAATAGAAAAAGCTGCTTCCCAAGGAATTATCCAGAGAGTAGTGGGCTCCACTTCTCTACAAGTGGCTTATAAATTGGGACCCAATGTAGACTTCAGGATCCCAACCAGGTAATGCCTTTTGTTGTTTGACTTTAAAATACATGTATTTTGCAATATTATAATTTAAGGGATAGATCCTGTCCCCAGCTAGATCACCTCAATTGCAAAGCTTCTGGAAGAGGAAAGAGGAGTTCAACTTTTTTTTCATTGCCACCACCAGACCAGACTGATTCTGTAACAGCAATTTCAGGGACTTGCACTTTCCTCTACCAATGATATTGCTCAAGGTGCCTCAAGATTTGCTGATAGAAAGGGATTCACCTCTAGGAATTGAAGCCAAAAGTTGTTGATGACTTGAAAAGAGATAGGGAGGCAAAGAAAAGATAACAGGAGGAGAGTGAGGAAAGTTTTCTCAAAACATGTTGACACAAAGGGATCTCTCTGGTTATGTAAGGATTGCAGAGACAGGGTGGGATAAAAGCTGACTGATTGTATGGTAAGGGTTTTTTTCTTTGCTTTTTGGTTAACTGGTACATGGATGTTCCTGGCTGATTTATGGTCACTTAATCTATAAAAGATGAAAACTGTTATTTAGCATGTTACAGTCAAGTTGCAATAGGAGTCAGGATTTAGGAATCTAACTGTGTTTGTGCTTTACAGGCCAGACTTGCTGCCGGTGAAGGAATAGAGACGGTACAGCAGGGCAGAGTTGTCTTTGCCAAACTTAGGCAAGTCTGGATTCTGGTCCAGCACCTCATGTAATTAAGAATGCCGTTACTTAGCAATTAATGGCAAGACCTTTAATTGGACTACTGTTTCAGCTAGGAATAATTGGAGTGCAAAGTGTTTCTGTCATACTGTGGCTATCACTGACAACTTTTGTTCGCTGCAGTCCTCTCTGGGTTCTACCTTCGTAGCCACCACATTAAGCTAGTTTACAGCTTAACTGGCTGGTTACATTGGACTCACGACTACTGTCCATCCCAGTGGCAAATCAAGGCTGCTAGCGCATAAATGTGAATCCAACCACAGTAAATGGGATCTTCATTTCACTAAAAATGAAGTGAAATGAAATCTCAGATTTTCAACTCGTGCTTCTTAGCTCAGAAACAGTCTGAGCTGTTATACAGCTATAGACACAAATTATCCCTGATCAAGCCTATAACAGCTGCGTTAATACACTGTGGCATCTCCGCTGACTGCTGCCACTGGGCTTGTTGGTTGGGTACGGTGCTGTAGTAACATGACTTTACCACATTCAAGACACTCATTGGTACTTCCAGTCAACACTGTGCTGTTACAGTGCAATGCTACCTCATGGTATACCTGAAATTTGCCCCTGGTTCAAACTAAAATGTCACCCACACTTGAGGTGAGTGTCTTGTCCAAGGGAATGGGTTAAGGCTTGAGTCCTGACAGTGCTGTAGTGCATCAGTGTGCTGCTCCTCTGTCACGGAGCCTGATCTTGCTGCTCTGATCCAGCGTTATTTCAGAGTGTGCCCCTCTCAGTAAGTTGACTCAGAAGGAGTGAAGTTGGCTGTAAGTAGCTGAGGCTAACATCACAGGAGAGGCACATCTTAGGCCATTTCCAATAATTTTTTTAAAAAACAGAACTCTCCACATAATCTTTATAATGTGGCACGGTAGGTGGGTTTTACTGGTATGAATTTGGGACAATGAAATGCCTGAGAAGCATTACGGGAGTTAGCAAGTTATGCAGAGCAAGGCTGAGCATCTTTAATGGCACGGGCATAGCTGTGGCTTTCTCAGACCCAGGCACTGCAGCAACCCCGAACTCCTGCTGCTTTTCCTTCCGGCCACCCCCCGCTATCCTTTATTCACACGGGGAGTATTTAACGGCAATGTAAATGTTTCCCGGAGTACCAGCGAGCAGCAGCTGCATCCCGCGGAAGAAGGGAAGGGGAGGAGAAGGGAGGGGGAGGGAGAGGAGCGGAGGGGAGGGAGGGAAGAGCCGC